AGCATCCGCCGATGCGAACACGTCCACCTTGTAAAATTTAACAAAGGTGTGAACAGAAGACCAAGTAGCGGCCTTACAAACCTGAGAAACAGAGGCCCCATGGCGGAAAGCCCAGGAAGCCCCAACAGCCCTAGTAGAATGGGCAGTAACAGGAAATGGAGGCTCACGCCCCTTAACGGCGTACGCCTGAGTCACAACAGTACGAATCCACCTAGAGATGGTAGCCGCCGACGCGGCCCGACCCTTACGATGACCCTCCATGAGCACGAACAGGGAGTCGATCTCGCAGAAAGAAACCGTAGCTTCCAAATAAACACGAAGAGCGCGAACCACATCCAAACAGTGGAGCGCACGCTCCTTCCTATGAACCGGCTTCGGACACAGGGAAGGTAAGACAATGTCCTCATTCAGATGTAATGCCGACACAACCTTCGGCAGGAACGCCGGCCGAGGACGGAGAACCGCCTTGTCCCGATGCAAAACCAGCAACGGGGACTTGCAGGACAAGGCAGCCAACTCCGACACCCAATCCGCCAACCGCGAAGGGGATAGTCGCGTGTTGGATGGGAAGAAACGGTTGCCCGGACGGGACAGAAACTCGATCTTGTAGCCCGGAGAAACCAGCTCCCGGACCCAAGAGTCGGAGACGTGGGCCAGCCAAAAATCCGCGAAGAGCCGAAGGCGGCCCCCCACCCCGGAGTCGGGGCCCGACCTTCATGCGGACTGGGGCTTGCCGGGGGGGTTTGGTAGACTTGGGCTGCCACGGACGCTCGGAGGAGTGGGAAGAGGAGGGTTTGTTAAACTTACCGCCCTTGTCGGAGGTCGCCGAAAAAGCCGCTTATGAGCGGAGAAGGTAGGCCCAGGCTTCCGGCGCTGTTCCTTCTTGCGCGCCTGGGGGAGGAAGGTACTCTTACCCCCCGTCAGATCCTTAATGATCTCATCCAAGGTGGAACCAAACAGAAGTAACGCAGGCCCTGCACCAACTGGTCCGCCAATTCCACAAAGGCGGGGGAGACGTTCTCCTCTGCAAGACCCTGATGTAACATTTTTGCCCACTCGGTTAGAGTCTGAGAAACCAAGGCTGAAGCCAAGACCGGACGTACGAGAGCACCCGAGAGAGTACAGGGACCGCAAAAGCGCCTCAGCCTTCCTATCGGAAGGATCCTTAAAGGACGGTGAATCCTCCACCGGGATAACCGTAGCCTTGTTTAAACGAGATACCGGCGGATCCACCACCGGAGGTGAAGACCACTTAGACACAAAATCCTCCTCAAAGGGGTAGCGAACCGAGAACCGCTTCGGGACCGCAAAGGACTTGGAAGGCCGTTTCCACTCCTTATAAAGGAACTCATCAAAAAAGGAGATGTAAGGAAACACCTTGGCGGAACGCCTACTCTTATGCGTCCCAAACTGCATGTGCGGCAGCACGGAAGTGCTGGCAACGTCCTCAATTTTGAGGGTCTCCCTAACAGCGCGGACTAACGCAGAAACAGTCTCACGTTCCTGAACCAGGAGCCTAGACGCGGCCTCATCCTCACTGGCAGAATCCGGGTGTGAGGAATCACCCGGATCAGGATGAGGCGATGGCGTGGGCAGCTCCCCCTCCTCCTCGGATTCCCCCGACAAGGCAGGGGACGGCAAAGTTAGGGCCCGCTTCTTAGATGGGCGCTGCGTCAAGGCACGCTCCATGCGCGTCACAAACCCATCCATGACAGAGGAAAAGGCTTCCAGGGACACCACCGGAGACCCCACATACATACCACCAGGGAAGACAGGAACCATCGCCAGGATCCAGGAGGAGCAGGGTACCGGCAGGAGAACGCCCCCGACCGAAGCCGCGGCGCCGCCAGCCTGCGGGGAGAGCCGCGACCGGTGGGCCGGAGCCCCCGGTCAGAAGCCCCCCCCCGGGACGAATCCCATAGGCGTCGGGGAGGACCACCTGTCGCAGCCGACCCACCGTAGCAGAGTCTGCATGCGCTCGTCGGTCACCCAAGGGAGACTACAAGGATCTACAATCATCCAGACTGTCGCCCTGGGGACACTTGCTAGAAGAAAAATCAAGTCAAACGGAAGAAAGGAAAAAAGTTCTGCAGAGAACATTTTTTAGCTCCTTACTCCTGACGCTAGCCAAAAAACTGGAGACTTGTCAGCAAGTGAGGGGTTGGGCCACCAGCAGGGGCCGCCCCTAGGCTGTCTTGTCTTTTTGTTATGTGCCTAGCGTCCTACTCCTGCAGGTGGCGATATAACCTACCTTTCAGGATCTACGATCTGTTGCCCTGTGTCCTTCAATTACCGGGAGAGAAACATTTTTTTTTTGCATTTTTAACAATTTCTCATATGTAACTTTTATTTTTTACATTTAACTTTATTGCGATCACATGGGGAGCTAACAAGCCTCCTATGTAATAGCAAAGAGGATGTGACAGGTCCTCTTTATGGAGACAAGTGGCAGGAAGAATCTCTGGACACAAGTGAATGGCTGTAGACACAGGACCACACCGCTTGAGCCTCAACACTCTGTAAACAGCAGGCCCAGTGCTCTCTGCGGTGGCTGGATCTTCTTCTAAAGCTGTGTGCTATTGTCCCCCAAACCGGTTGCCTGCATGCCTAGACAAATGGTCCAGGACCAAATACCTGGTGACAGATCTCATGCCCAGTCTGTCTCATTAGTATTATGTAACCCTGCACTCTTTATGAACGGTGTGTTACATATTCCTTTCCACTGCACTTTGTATGCAGGGCTATATGTTACATACTCCTGACCCCCTGAACATTGTATGGTGGGCTGTACATTACATACTCCTGACCCCTTGCACTATATATTTTTTTTCTTTTGAAATATTAGTCCAAGAAGTTCATATTTCAAGATTAATTGTTCTGGAGGTTTACGCGTGTCTGTATCCCGTGCTTTTGGCACACCGAGTCACATGTTGGGGTACAAGCACTGTGACATATGTGTTCAGTGTATACAGTAAGTAGGCGCAGGTTCTATTTAACTATGCCTGTTTAATCCCCTCATACTGTCAGCACAATGTGGCCACACCCACCATTTACCATTGCTCTTCTTGGTGTGCCCCAGGTCTTTCACAATCCTAGCAACACCCCTGAATGCACATATTGAAACTACCAGAAAGAAGTAGCATTAGATATCTGGGAATGACCAGGAAGCACTGCCTGGCCTTAGCAGCAACAACCAGAAATATAATATATACAATGCAGTGCAGTCATACCCTTTGCTGTTATTGTAATATCCTCTATCAGACATAGATCACAACTGTGGGCAGCAGAAGTTACATATAACAAAATTACTACTTCTTTAAAATTGTTATTTTCACTGTAGTCACAAGGGTTACCAAATGTGACCCCCAACTGTAACATAACCATTGCACTTTTTTTTGTTTGTTACAACAGCCTCTTAAATGGCTTCATGAAACAGCACACAAAACTTCAGAAGTTATTGAAATTAATATTTTATTAATTATTTTTAAGGCTTTTTATTTTAGTAAAAATTGAATTCTGCTACTTTCCACCACTCAGAAGTATGTACCATATAAAGCTAACCAGACCCATCAGGAGCACTAGCATATACATTACAGCCAGGTCTTCGTTATATATTTCTGCAAGTTTTTGTTTTACTGTTAAAGCATGACACAAACCTTAGCGTAATCTACACAGAATGCTACACAGAAGGATCGGCCTAGGTGTCTCTTATAGGAAGTAGTGCAAAATAATGACTTGAAGTAAAAGGCTTGAAAACGACGTACAGCAAAGTTCTGGATGTCATCACTTTGGAGGACTTTATTAGTACAAGATCAATCGATGCTGGACATGAATTCTTACCCAACAATGTGCAGGAAACTGGTCAGTCTATTATATGCCCAGACCCTAATCACTCATGAATTTGCATTACCAGATCCTCCCATTACTGGTCCATACCCAGCCATGATCTAACAATCAATAGACTTAAAGGCAAAACTCGAACACGATTTAGAGACCCGATCACTACTTTTTACCCTGATGACTAAAAACAGGCAGGCAATCTGTATGATATGGACTTACAGAAGCAATGTCTGCTGCACTTCCTGGAGAGTTGAATCGCAAGATATCCGACTCTGTGTAATCACAGTGTTTTTACTGCAAGTACAAAACAATCTTCCAAGATCAGCACTGAAAGCTGAAAGTATATACTTCGTAAACAATTCTACTTTCAGTACAATATACAATGCAGCGACTTTCAGTGTGACCATGGGAGTTGTTTTCTTTGTACTTGCCAGAAAAACAAGGTGATGGCAGAGAGAGGGGCCCTATGGGCCACATGGAGTATGAGGATCCAACATTGCTGGAAGTGTTGAGTTTCAGTGCTGATATCTTTGCTTAGGAGTCTCTAGTTACTGCAGCAGACATCGCTTCTGTAAGTAAACATATTGCATCTAGCCAGCCTGTCAGGGTAGAAGGTTGTAAAGGTGTCTTAGGTGTCATTAGGTGTTTGGTAGTTCTTTGTCCTTCTACATAATTGAGTATGTCGGCACTGAATAGAAGGTGGCAGTATATGCTAGTAATAAGTAGCAGTATATAACTGTGCTAATCTCACAGTACATTTGTGAAAATAGCAGAAAATGGGCCACATAGACTTTGGGAATGTAATACACACTTTAACCTGAATGGGATTGTTACTTATTTTACAACACAGACAGTGGCCTATATGGATCTATTCCACTAAATTTGATTTTCTGGTCATAATTCTTATTGTCAAAATATTGTCAAGAAGGTGCATATTGTGATGTGATCATTGTTGGATAGTGCGGTGAACTTGGAATGGGATATTTGTGAGCAAGTGACCATCAAAATCACCACGATGCCTTGCACTGCCTAAAAGCAGATGGTCTCTCATGTCCCCTTTTGATAACAACATAGTTACTTGTTCTCGTATGTCATTTCTTCAGGTATAAATTAGAAACAGAGGAAAATAAAAATCCATAATACCTATTATTCTGTGATACCATAGATTTTTTTTTTATGTAAACAGAAGTATGGAAATTTCAGTAAATTCCCTTTAGTAGACATCTTACGTTTGTAAATTCTACTTGGCTTGAGCACGTTTCTGCCCTGGAGCTGATGCTTTCAATAATGTTAATAACTGTGTGGTACTTGTTACTTCTTATATAAATACAATGATTTATTTATAAACATACAAAGTTTACCAGGTCCCTTTAATGTAAAACATAAACACCCACCGCGGAGGCTCCTAATTTACTTTGCTACCGAGCCTCGGGGGCAATAAATGTATTCTGAAGCCAAAATGTCATATCTTTGTGGGTTTTCTCTTCTCAATTCCCTGCCTTCATTGCAGCAATCTATCCTTGCTAATACTTGGTAGAAAACCTTTGAGGAGATCAACAAGTGTCTGTAAGGCATGTGTGATGTTTAATGGCTTTGAAAGGCAATTATTTTTAGTTTGTAAGAGAGCCGATGGTTTCAATCCATAATAGTTAAACATGAATGTATGCGTACATGTGTGAATGTGATTATTCTTCACACCTAGGCATGGAAGGTGCATTGTACAAACTATTCAACAAATGTTACATTTTCCCTCCTTTCCATATGAATTATACATTCTGACAGCTGGCATGTTTCCAGAAAAGTGCAGACACAGGTAGTGTCACAGAAACAGGTCAATCCATCTGCCAAGAAACCACTCATTCAAGTATCAGCATATCAACTAATCATCTCCAGAAGTGAAGTGTTTAATATGACATAGCAGGTGGTTTACTACAGGACCCAAACAGTTGCCATCATATAGTAGTAGTTCTTCCTGATATACCCCTGGCCGAGTACCAATGATTAGTGTGTTAAAGAGTAGAAAAAATAAAACTGCTCCCAATATAATCTGAATCTATAAGCACTACAGATTCAAAGTTCTCCTGCAGACACAGCAACTCACTCATAGTCATTGCTGCCTTGATGGTGCCAAAGGCTTATTTGTCCTAGTGTTTAGTTCTGGCTTCTCCACTAGACCATTATAGTTCCTCCACAGGCAGCAAGTGGGGTGCTTCCCCCTGTGCATTGGCTTGTTTGATCCATTTTCTATGGGCCTTCTGGTGTGGTGAAGACAAGTCGATTTACACTTTCAAATTTAAAGGACTCCAGCGTTTTCCAGCGTGTGGACTTCTAGAGTCATTTTGTTGGTGATTCAGTGGCTTTCCCATTCATTTTGCTAATATGCGGATTTGACCTCCATTGCATTTTCAGTGGAAGTTAAGATGAAGTGGAGTTACGTACAAGATGTTTTTATGATGAGCGGCAGAACTGAGACCTCACAAGGCATTGGCTGGGATCCACAGGGCTTTGTTTTGTTCTTGTTCCACAATTACCAAGATCTGAGTGCAAATGCTGACCAGAGCACCTCCTTGAATTACAGCTGTGAACACGAAAAAAAACCAAAAAACTAATTAGAGCAATGTCAACAAAAACAATACTACAGGTATAGCAAAAGGATGACAAAGAAACAGATTATGGAAACTTTTCAATGTAGTGTTTAATATATGCGCCATTTACAAATAGCAGAAACAACCACCAACCAAAGGACTGATTTATGTTTGAAACTAAACCTATACAATAAAGTTTCTTTTTAGAATGCAGATCCCTCAAGGTGTCTGTTGTTCAGACTGGCAGGCAAATGTATCACTTGAAGACAGCTGCTGCCATTAGCTTGCATACATATTTTCAAGGCAAATAGGACAATTTTTTTGTCACTGTTTATTACCAGCTGAGGAATCTACAAATAAAATTCACCCCAGTTTCAAGTAAACATGTCACTGCACATGACAGGCTAAAAGAAGATATACACCAGGTGCCAATCAGTAAAGCTTGATAGAAAATCCACCGCTGCAAAGCACCATGGGAACCTCCTGGTAGGAAAACATTTATCTTTTCCAAAAAGTCAGTGCAACGTAGCACCATAACACATCCTACAATGCAATGCGGGGCCTCAGTAACCTATAGGAAGGGCCCCTAAATTGGGATTTGCTGGGGGAAATCCTCAACATTGAAATGCAAACCTGAGAATTAGTACAGTGGAGGCAGCCCTATGTTCCTTAGTTCCTGGGGCATTCTGCAGCTTTACCTGGAGTGCCCAGTTTTCATATTAGTACGTATTTAATCCTGCTACCTTGAATAGGAATACAATATCATAAACCTATAACAATTCGATCTGCCAGCACTATAGAAGCTAGCAGGTATGGTACTTTTGTATAAGGGCTTCTTATTACTTGTATGACAAACTTTGCTGCAAGTTTTATCATACTGGTGGACTGAGGAACCCACTTGTTTAAGGCCGTATACAGACCTTTGAGTTGCAGTAAGGCACTCCTCATCTTGAATGAGCTGCCAATGCACCCCAACATGCTTTTTACCATGCACAGATGGATCATCTTGTAGTTTTTTGGGAATGTGTGTTAGGATGCCATTTAAAATGAAAGACACCTCAATGCACTGCAGTTACCATGTGTTGTGGTAACTAGGGATGCACCGATATTTCAGCCACTGAAACGTATCGGCCTAAAATGGCACTTTTGGCAAAATGCCATTTTTTGGACAAAATAGTGGTGCATCCGTGCCTTCTCTCCTTCCCGCTGGGCGCTACTCTGTGTCCCAGGAGGGAGGAGAGAAACTGTGACAGGAGGCCGAGTCTCTTGTGACAGTCGATCCAGGATGGAGAGCGAGGTACAAGCACTCAGCGATCAGTGCAAATAATTGAGGAAAAAGTATGTTTACTGTGTCCTCAATTATGAATGAATGGGACGTGATCTACATAACTTCCTGTTCATTCATGATTGTGTACATGGTAAACATACACTATCTCCACATGTTAGGAAAATATTTTTAAAAATCTGAAAAAGTGGGGGGGGGGGGGGGGAAACATTTTCGGTTTCGGCCTGACATTTTTTAAAATTTCGGTTCGTTTTTGAAATGTTCATTTCGGTGCACCTCTAGTGTTAACGCATAATGATACACATGTTTATTAATCATCTCCAGCAAACAGATCAGTTTTTGGTAATCAGGCCAATGAATGAGGAGTTGTGCTTGCAAACTTTGGCTTGCTGCAACTTGGCCTATTACGCCTTCCTTTTTAACTAGGTCTCATATTGGATTCCTCCCATATATTGAACAGGTTTATGACATGGAAAATATGTATACTGGGCCAAATTCACTTACCTGTGAAATACTTGCTGTATTCCTGCTCAACCTTCTGTGCGGATTCAAACTGCTCTTTGGAATTTTTCTGTGTAACTTTGTCCCTTAGAAAGATTGGGTCCTTTTGTTCCCTAAAAACAAAGCCGAAAAACATGTGAAATTGCAGTTTAATGAATAATGGCATTCACCTAATATTCACACAGGTGTATATCATTGTACAGTTTGCTGGAGAATTATAACACAGTGACAGTGAAACAGTTTACAGTTAACATAGATGGTAGTCCAAATTGTGCCATCTACTGGATATTGTCATCTAATACATTGCTGGAGAAAATATAGATGGGTTAGGGAGTGTGCAGTTGGGTTTTGCAGGGTCCTTAGACTTCTTTTATGAGACGTTACATGTTGTCATTATGTGAGGTGTTAGTAAAAATTTGTGAGCCAGTAATGGTTGGCCCAAAGTAGCTAGATTGTCATGAAAATAACCATAGAGACTGTCAATTTTTAAAAAAAATTATTTTTTTTTAAACTCCCGGTAAAATGTGTTTCTTGGCGTTCATTAAGAGACACAGGATTAGAAGTAAATCAATAGATAACGGAGTTATACTGCTGCCTTCAGGGATATTCGGACACTGGCAAACAAAAAGGCCTTTGGCTCACCCACTCCCAGCATGCTTCTGATTTGTTGAAAAGCAGTATGAGGAGTGGATCACAACACACAGGGTGGAACCTGCATCCCTTAATGAACTTCATGAAACCGATTTTACACCGAGTACAAAAATCCTGTTTTGTTTTTCATTAATTAAGGGACACAAGATCAGAAGAAGTACAAGACAATTGGGACGTCCAAAAGATGTCCAAGAGAGGGATGGGCAACACAGCAAACAAAAATCACTAACAGCCCAGATAAAAGCACGGTAATCAATGGGAGCAGCCTGCAGCCAAATGAACGTCTGGGAGACCTTACACCCAAAGCTTGCATGATCTGAGGCCTGAATGTCCACCTGGTAAAATTTAGAGAACATATGAACAGAAGACCAGTGACCGCTTTGCAAATTGGGAAATAGTTGGCAGATGCTAAAGGACCATTTACTGATCTAGTAGAGTGTGCCTTGACAGGAGGATGAGGAATGGTGGCATGAGAAGCAAGTTGTCCGATGACCGCTGGCATCCTAGCAACCAATTATATCAGAGGCTCTTCTCTGCAGTAATTGGTTGCTAGGACTGCCCAGCAGATAACAAAACTTAAAACGGTATGTGTGGGGTGCGGGATGGTCTTTGGCATGTGTAGTTTCCAGCCCAGCAACAACTAACGCACAGTACCGTGCAATGCATCTATCAAGCACTCTAGTGTGGCAGGTGCATTGCATGCACTACTTTTTGAATCGCACCACGATGCAGGGTAATACAGTACTGCATGTTGCGGTGAAGTTGACTGCATTGTGCCCAGGAGGTGCGCTTGGAGTCCCACTTAAATGAATGGCAACACAACTGCAACACTGTAATGTCACTACGTTCTGCGGTCCCATGCTGTAATTGAGTCAGCCCTCCACAACTGTCCCAGTTTCCTATGTGGCCCCCCAAGAAAATTAATTGCTCACTCCTAATTTAATTCCTACCTGATTGTATAGCTTTTGAAAGGCTCCGAATTGTTTCAGAGTTTAGCTCTGCCATTTGGGTACCAACCACGGAATAATGGATATATTTAAGGGATCGATATTGGTGGCTTATAAAGGGTGTTTTTGATATATTGCATTATACTTTTTAGCTGTATTGCTCCCAGACCTCCCGGGTTTCTAGGGAGATATAGGAGTATGGTTCAGGATCTCCAAATGTTCCAAATACTTTTTCATTTTTGTTTGAATTATTCGTACAGGGAGAGAACCCTTAAGTGATATACTAACTTTGTAGGATGATCATTTATTGCTGCTGCTCTACCAAACCAAGGTCACTTTGGTGACTCAAGATGACTCATTTGTTTTGCTGCTACCTAGGTAAAGGAGTGTACGTGTTTCCTGTGGAATTCCTTTCAGTAATTTGTATGTAATTGTTTTTATAGAATGTTATTTTCTATCATACATCATTTGTGAACAAGTACTATTTATGTTGGGTTTCTGCTACCTCTAGCCACGTAATTGTCTCATTATTTCTTATTAGATGTGCTAATATGTTGATTTCTAAGATGAAAAGTTGAAGACGGCCCCTTCTCTTATCAGAGTTATTAAAAGGAGGGGATCTAAATCCAGAGTATCATATGCTTGGTGTGGAACATAGGGCATCAATGTAAAAAAATAAAAGGCCACGATAGAGTCAAATTTGTATTTGTTCTAATTTGTTTTCTGCAATATCCTCCATAAAGGACCTGTGTGTTACACATCCTTGGTGCAATACTCTGCAGGCTCTTAGATCGATGTTGCCGCATTTACTAGTCTATGTTTTGCAAATCTAAAACAAAAAGGTGGACTAAGTCTTTAAACCCATCTGATTATTTTTTTGCTTTCTGTGTCCCATTTTAGGTAATTTTTTTTAAGGATATATACTATCTGTTGTGGAGAGGCAACAGAAAGTGTGAAGAAATCTCTACAAAGTGACAACTGCAACATTTTGAATTTCCCTCACTTTCTGACAATGGTAACCAGGACAGAGTGTGAATCACCCCAGTGGGAAACTAGACAGTAGTAAAAACCAGACAGGGGTTCTAATCCTTCACTGTGCTGTCTTATGGATTAAAGTGACACTAAACTCAGGAGTTAAATCTTAAAAATGCATTCAAGTACCTTACCTATTAACAAAAATCTATCTTATCTGTATAACACTCATCTGTAGATCCTACAAACATCTCTGAATTGGTGCTGACACTGTCCTTCCTTCTGGAGGGTGGCTACTTTTTGTTCCCCATGGTCCCTGTGTGTGTTGTAAAGTAGTCATCGCTGATTTGAGGATCTACAGCGGAGTGATACACACACTTGCATGGTAGGGAATAGTGGCATGCACACAAGGTGTCAAAGTATGTAATGTATGTAAGAGCACCCTGCTCTATTACATACAAGCATTTTTCATACAAACCTCTCCCAAAACTCAGGGCAAGGTGCTCTTATCAGGTGCTGATTCAAGATTTTATTTTCACTTTGTATCAAAAAGAGCTTGACTTGCGGACCACTTCATACTGTTCAGTCTATAGAAACAAAATGGAAGGGTCTGTCTGGTCAACCCCACTTTTTGTAACCTACACTATTAGAACTTTTGATAGCTTAACCTCTTGCCGTCCGCCCGCAATTTTTTTCTGCTCGCGCGCGCCCCCTAGCGGGCACGCACGGGCAGAAAAGACCCGCTAAATGCACACACCCGTTACCGGGTGTTTCACATATAGGCGAAAATTCATTTCAGTACAGCGCTGCATGACGGAATAAATGTCAGTCAAAGTACCGCAGCGCTGAATACTGAAAAATGGCCTGGATGGGAAGGGGGTTTAACACCGCGGATGTCAACTGGTTAATGTGTGAAATGGGCATACAGTATAAAACACATATTGGGTTATATTAGTATGTACTTTATATGGTCTGGAATAGTCCTGTAGTCTATATTTCTCTTTTACGTATATTCTGGAGGTTTATTACTTTTAGATGAATAGATATAAAGCTAGTATGTATTATTAACATTGTACTTAGACCTGAAAACCCTATTCAACCTCATCTCTCTTACAGCAATAAATATCAGAAATGGTTCCAACTACTCCCTTCTCTATCCAAAACATAACAAAAAGCATTATTGAGTGGTACACAAGTTATATTTACAAACACTCAACTTTCTCCTAAAATTAGATATCTATTTTCTAACAGGGTTATTAATAGAAGGGTGAAGAGTTTGGAGAAGGCAGGAGAAGGGAACAATCTAGGACAACATAACTGAACTGGAAAGTGAACTGAATTGGAGATTTTTTACAAATCAGCTATTTTGTCCTAGATTGTTCACTTCTCCGGCCTTCTCCAAACTCTTCACCCTTTAGTGAATAGACCTGTAAGTGTGCAGAAATGAAATTATGATGTGGGATTGTGATAAGCATGGACCAATTCTTTGCTTTCTATGGATGGAAATAATTATATTATATGATGAAGTCAATGAATATTATATACAGATATCCAGTGCGTTATAAACCTCAGTACTGCTGCCAATGCAGTACAGGGACTTACTTTATCTGCTTAGTGCTTTTGTACCGGATGAAGAGGACAATGGGGTAGATGTGAACGCTGTGCAGACGTTCAATAGCATGAGGAGCTATGTCCAACAGACAGTGACAGTTCTGTGAAACAAAGAGATAGGTTTGCAATCAGGTCTGCTTGTTACATACATTCAAAGATGAACAGATTAAAGTCATCTACATGTTTTCTAGGCAATACTATGGGATAAAGCTTTTTACAATGTACCTTCTCTGTGATCTCCTTTATTGAGGCAACTGTGGTGACATCAAAGTGCCCACTTCGCCTCTTGTAGTCTATAAAAAGACAGTCCTTCACCCCACGCTCTATGGCCTGTTGTGAGGCTTTCATTACCTCTAAAAGACAAAAACATTTTATTATGCAAATAAACGTCACACCGAAAGTAACTAACAAGATTAATTTAACCACTACAGCCAGGACAGACAGAAGTAAAATAGGGAGAATGTACATATTTTGAAAGGGTAAAATGCCTACCTAGAGGACATCTGCAGAACCTCCCTGGGGACTCCTTGGCAAGCATATCTTTCACAGCATCAACTAATGGTCCTAGGATAAGCACAGGTCGAGGCGTTGTGCAGTCTACCCTCTGAACTCGCTGGTATGCCAAGTTCATAGATTCTATAAGATAAAAGTCAGTGCTATGGTAAAGACTGAAAAACAAAAACAAGTTGCTTCCATGATGCCATCCATATAAAAGGTGTTATTTTATAGCAATTCATTTTAAATACCTGGAGCCACTCCTTCATGTGTAAATATTCAGCCTAAAGTCTCTGTCCCTGTGTGGTTATTTTCCCCGTTATATGGCCTATGAATCATGTACACACAAATTTTCAAAGATAAAATGCACAACAAGATATGTACTGGTCAAGGGAGAAAGAGGGAAGCTGGGCACAAAACTAGCAGGATACTAGTATATACCTCATCTTGTTGTGCATGACGTGCCTTGGTTTGAT